GACAGGACGCTGTCAAAATCCGATAAAGTTTAAAACGCACGCGCCGACACGTGCCGTTTTGACATTTGACATGTCGGGAACTGTCAAATGTGACAATAGAGAACGGCAGGCCAAGTTATTGTTTCTTAAATTGACTTCTGACCATAACTACGTATTGGTGGTGACATGAACGCTGTTAGTATTGAAAAGTATTTAATGTTTATATTTTACACTCATTGGTTTAGTTAGGGAGGGATATTAAGTATTTAGAAAGTGTAATGACCTTATGACTTATTCCTGAAAACCTATGTTTTTAGATTTCATATTTGACCACACTTCTTGACTTGTGGAACAGCTCCTGTATAGCTAAGGGCGTTGATGGTATGTAGTTGGCTTCGGAAAAATAGAGACCATATAAGACCGGATCACCACTTATCTGTTGACGGAGCGATGGTGGTGTAAGTGGTTGTCACTTTCTTGGTTCAAACATTGCCAAGAAAGTGAAAATTAGTTTCAATGAAAACAATTAATGAATTTGTACTTTCTTTAACTAAACTGCTTCTTGCTTGTCGTGGTGTATTTGGACATACGTTACTGCTATTTTTTATTTTTGCGCCCACACTCCCCGTATTACCTAACTATTTCATGAGTATTTCAAAAAATAGTTAAACAAAGTGATGCATTTTGTAACAAACACCATTTATTCATAAAACCACAAATAGGAACTAGAAAATTTCCTCGAATCCGACTCTGCTGCACACCTGTTCATGTTTCCACGAGCAACGTGCAACTTAGATAATAACGGCAACGTAAACGTTATAATAACTGTTATTAACGATAATAACAGTTTTTACTAGAATACGGTAGGTAACACCTCTATTATAGTTGTCGTAAATTTGACATGCGCTATTCTTGTGTTTAGTGTGGTTTTTATGGGAAAATAATTGTTCGCAATTATTGTAGCTTTTCTTGGTATTTTGTATAGAAAAAGCCGTACATATATGTACCTAAGCTTTCTTTTTGTGAGGGGAAATTATCAAATGACTTCTCGCGCCCAGGGCCGGGCGGGAGGGAGTGTCAGCCTCTCACTGACTAAAAAACCCCCGTTCCTTCTCCTGCTCTGGACCGAGGTCGTGGTGCCTCATTGCGCTTACCCCGCAACCCCGGCTTAGACCGCAACTCGGACCTAAGCTGACTCTTCTACATTATACTTGCCCGCAGAAACACAAACATATGCATATGAAAATTATAAGCAATGTATGAAGAACCGCAAGCGCCGCGCCTAAAATTAGTATTTAGAAAACTGTGTACATTATTATAATTATAGCTAGGCAATAATTTACAAATATCTTATTTATAAACTAGCCTAACCGCCACTCACTAGGGCCGACGTTCAGCTGATTTTTGACTGTTGCAGGTCAAACCCCTTGCTCGCTTTAGTTAAGATGGCTTTTATCAATTCATGAAATGTTGTGATCACAGAGATGCAATGCCACCCGAGCGGACGTAATGAGTTAGTAGACCACAGACCGGGCCCAATAGGGCTGATGTTCAGCCGGTGTAGCGGGGTAAGCGCAATGAGGCACCGCGACCTCGGCCCAGAGCAATACAAGAAACGGCGGAAGGTGGAAGGGGTTAGTCAGTAAGAGTCTGACACTCACTCCCTTGATGATTTTCCCCTCATCAAAAAAGGGATGCAATGGCACGCTGCCAAAACCGACAGACCTAAATTATGACGCCATTATTATTTTTTCAAAACGCTAGGTACCTAGTTGTTTTCTTAAAAAAATATATGTATCATCATAAGCACTTTACAATAGCTGCATTGGGATGTAAAATAAACTGCGCAGTGTTATTTATCCGAGTTCCTTTATTCAATGCGAAAAGCCTCAAGTAGGTAGGGCACTTTTTTAATAATAAAATTGTTATTATTTTATATGAGAGCTATAATTATAGTTATATCATATTGCCACTGATTTTGTTTTCATTGAAAACAATCGAGAACTGCATCCGACGTTTTGATTGTTTATTTTCCTTCGTTTTATCGTAATGATGTACGCAGGGGTGTATATTGTGTACAGGGTGTGGTTTTTTGATGCAGCTGGTGAGTTAAATTTGTGAATATTTTTATTTTAAATGACGAATTAAAAGGTCATTCCAATGTCTATCTAAAAGTCGTGAAGGGACACCTTCGTCTTGTAGCTTGGGTGATCGACGTAAAGCCAGGGTTGCAAGGCAAGCGCAATAAAAGCACCGCAATCCCGGCCAAGAGCAAGCACTACCTCTCACTTGGGCGAGATATGTCATTTGATGATTTTCTTTTCATAAAAAAGGTATGATGATCGAAACTTTAAAATAAAACCAGATTCAGGTTCGAGTATTACATACTCGTAAGTACAAAACTTTACACGCAACGGAAAAACGGTACCTACGAGTATTATGGAACCAGAACAAAATTACACGTTATAATCAGCTTATCAGTATCTAGTATATAAACTGCACGACATAGATACCTATTCCTATTATCCTTTAGATAAGAATGTCGACTTTGCATACGTTAAGAATTTAAATAGAAATGTCTTAATCATGACTAGAATTTCTCGTTACCTGTTACACAGGGTATTTAAATAAGACTGCTGTGTCAGAATACCTAATCCCTAGTCATCATCATCAGCCTATAAGTGCCCACTGCTGAGCAAAGGCCTCTTCATTTACGGAGAAGGTTTGAGCATTAATCACCATGCTTGCTTAAGGCGGCTTGGCGATTTCAAACTTATAATTAGAAATTGTAAGTCCAGGTTTCCTCACGATGATTTGTCAGTAGTGTCTATACATATAATCACAGAAAGTACATATAACTCGGAAAAAAGTTACATTGATAGGTACTTGTAACATTTCAAACCCACACCCTCATGCATAAGAAGCCTTAACCTCGGGGCCACCACGACCTTAATCTTCAGTACCTACCTTAAAATTCCCTGAAAGTGGCAATAAATTGCGTAAAATTGGTGTTTGCCACCAAAAGAATATTTCAAAAAAATATTAAATAACTACAAGGTACTTACGCGAATCACTTTGTTTTCAGTTACATTTTTATTTCAATTTTCTCCGTATCTCAGTTTTGTACAAAAATCAAACAATAATATTTACCGAACTCCAAGAACCAAGTATTTTAATACATCACCCTGTACATTTTCACCTTCCCATTACTGGGGTACCATTGTTTATGTTATTCCAACGTATTTGCCATACAAAAGACAGCCCAGTTGTTTATTTTATGCCAAATCACTACCCTAGTGTTCGCAATGATATCTATCAAGAACACATATTTTATTAAAAAACATAGGGGGATATGCCTTCAGGAATTTCATATTTGATTGGCACTCGATATGATCCGCAAGGAATAATGAACTTTGTTTCATATACAGTAAGGGTTGACATTGAGTATTTAGAAGGTATATTAATTTGTCGACTAGGGTGTTTCGTTTTTGTTATTTTAATAAATTTTAAAATTGTGTACTGAACAGCGATAATGACTGAGTAAATATATTAATTCAATTTAAAAATAGATTTGTTGATTTTGTATGAAGTGGAAACATTTGTTAAAAAGTTAATAGAAGAAAAAAATGGTTAGGTAAAATAAAATTCACAAATAAATTTTCTAATAATTTTAATTACGTATAATATTTTTAATCGAGATATTTATAGTCCCGTCATTACATTACAATCGGATATAATTTACAACATATTTTTACAAATACGCTTATTTTAAATTTCTCCATAAATTACAATTTATATATCTAAATATTAATAATGATTAAAAAGTTATTTTGTATGTAACTTACAGGATATATATTCTACTTAAGTCAAAATGTGGTGCAGTAAAAAAAATTAATAATTATTTGATATGGCAACTTATAAATGCAAATTTAATAAAATGGCCGTTAATTCAAAAGATAGAACAGCAACTTGGATAACAAGTTTTTTAAACAGTTAGAAATTACTTAAAACTTTTTAATATTAAAAATGGAATGCAAGCAAGCGCTAAAAACTTTAGATACAACGACAGATTAATTTAAAAACCAATAATATTATGGGATGTATGTTTCATAGGAATATAAACTAGGAAGTATTTTAAATAATCTGTCGCAAACTAATAAAAAAGTAAACGAAATTAAAGTCAGTCCATATTTAGATTTAAAATTATCAAAAATGGCGGATAGAATCAGATCGTAACGGTTTTACAGACATCAATGAACAAATACCACGATATCCTATTACAGGTAGACATTTAAACATTTTTTTAATTATTATATATTACAAAATGACACATACGAATCTAAAGACAAAAATATGACAATTATTTTTAACTATATTTACAAATAATATCAAAAGTCGTTGTAATTAATTGGACTTTTTAAATTCCAATAAATCATTGCGATGATAACATTCATATTTATGTCAAAATATTTATATTATATATATTTTTTTTTGTTAAATATTTTGACATATTTATGACATAGTGTTATTGTCACAATAATTACGATAAAATATGAGTTTATATCGATGAATTTTTTAATATTTATGTATTGTAAGTTTTTACAGAAAAATGTACAGACATGCCATTATTTTTTTTAGCATACCATGTAAGCTATTTCGTTAATGTTAATATTAAACTTTTCATCGATAAATTGACAACTAACTATATTCACAATGTACAAATAGGTTCACATACCTATACACATATTAATTAATATCTAATAATTTTATTAATATATTTCCGAAGAAATGAAGAAGGAACTTTGGGAGTACGAAATAAAAATAAAAATCCAATACTGGTTTTAAATGACCAAAACTAATAATTTAGTCTTAAAACGTTGGCATTGTAACGAAAAATCTCATTTTACGAATAGAAATAATAATAATCTTTCAAATAATTTTGACAATCCACTTGGAATTGCGTATCAATATAAAATCGAAATTCACCATTTCATTAAAAAAGAAAATACCTACACGCCCCGAAAATTCGATAGGAAACTAACGTAAAAAACGCAGTCGTTGGAAAACTATAAAAATGAACAAATAAATAAAAATCAACAACAACAAACTAGGTTTCAGGTCAAAATATGACGGTGAGGGGTCGTCTGAACTCCGGACCTCCTTGGGTGCTTTGTGGATACTGTCCGGGGTATTGTGGCATGAGGATACTTGAGGATCCTTGGTAGTAGGGAAGCGAAGGGGAGGGATTTGACCCTGATGATGATGAGCCTTCGGTTCTGTCTTGGGCTTTGGGGGTCATGTCTGGGGAGTCAGTTGGGGAACGTGGCGATAGACTGGATGGAGCTGAGTTTACGGAGCTAAGTCCTGCCATGGCGGCGGCTGATGCTTCGGAGTACATCTTACTGATGTCGACTGGGTACGAGCGCTGTTGCTGCTGGTCCATGTACATATATGCCTTGGATAAGGCTGCAGAGTCCAGGTATCCTCGGGAGGGGTCTGGGTACATACCGTAGGTGCGGTATTTTTCAGCTTCTATTGAGTACTTCGACATATCCATTGATGAACCGACCTGTAACAAAGACATTTTTTGGTCAATGGTTTTAGAGGTTGGAGCTTGTAATGTAATCGGTCATTGATTGGTATGAAAAAACTTTTTAAAAGCACATTTTAAATACTCGAAAAGATCTTTATAGTGCGGCTTATGTTTTAGAAAATAATTGGCCACTTGAAATAATCTGAATACATTAAAGTAAATTCTATTTTTAAATTAATGAATGCAAGAAACGAGACTCAAGAACGACCTTAACAAAACGAGTAAAGAATTCGAGAGAAACGCATTTAAAACGAATAAAATGTTCATTTCAATATCGCATTCATAAATATCGGATAAATTTAATACCGTATCACGAAATGTCAGCAAACAAATCATAAATCGAGACATTTCCCAACATTTACAAGTCGACAGTACCCCAAGACCTTTTCATACAAACTTTGTAAGAAAACTGTAATCTATCTTAACAAGAATTACTCACAAACAACATAATTCAACTGAAATTAAATATGAATTTTCTTTAACAATTTACATATGAATTATACGCAGTCAACATTCTACTTTATTTACCGAAGATAAGGTTCCAATTTGTATGAGAATGTATTGAAACGTAATGCAGTACTGTATTTTACACGCTCAGACACACAAATCATGCGTAACAATGGAATCGAATAAAGGTTCGAATTTTAAAATTTTTAATGAAGTGAGCCGTACACAATATTGTGAGGAAAATATCGTTTGTGTGTTACGACACACGGACACTTTGTTTAGCGAACAATGGCTGTATACAGGTTGAAGTTACGAACTGTAATTTACGGAGCTCGACAGGTGATACATTTTGTTGCGTTAGTACTTTGCATAGCTTTGGCATTTTACTCAATATTCTGCTTTAAATTTACTATACGTAAAACAGCCCGATTGTAAATTCACACAAAATATTCTTCGCTGTATATTTGACAAGTTATTTATTTTAAGCTTAAGTTTTAGTTGACGTTTTGACAATGTTACGTTGTTACAAACAAGCTGTAGTTCATGTACAGTTGCACTAAATTTATATAATTCGATTCTACAATAGTGGTTGTTATGACTACGAGTACATCATAAATAGGGATTATCACACAAATTCGAGACACATTAGAAAACTACCAATCAAAAATCCATAAAAGGTTTACGTTCGTAATCCCGAAAAATTTAAATAACAAATAATGACAATGGTATCGCGTGAAGAGTCGTAAGTTCGCCCACTGGTTGGTTGGTTTGTTTGAAGGGCCGTGTGTAGCGTGCGTTTACGCATAACATACGACGGCCGGTCACCGCTAGAGTGCTAAATCAGGATTAGTGAGACGACCAGGTTTCATGCAGTGGAGTTTACGGCCCGCCCCTACACCTATTTTATTGCAAGCCAGTTTATATGAGCCGCAGTTAGTTTTTTTCTTTTGGAAAACTATTTAAACGACGCTTTTCTATAGTGCTATCGGTCTCTCTTATATTTGTTACACTGATGTGAGATATAAATAGTCTGATATGTAATTTGAGTGCCTTTCTTTTGTTGTTCGACCCTCGTATAAGCTGCATAACCTGTCCAGTGATTAAGACATCTTGTGTGTTTCGCTGTTACGTTATGCTAATTATGTTTGGAAGAAGAAACCTACGGGTTTATTTTTCACATGAAATTCCAACAAACACCATTTTTTTGTAATATAAATAAAATAGAAAATATATATGAAATAGAAAATATCTTCTAAAAAAAGTATGTTTTATCAAATGACTCGAAAGCTGATTTCACACTACATCAGGATCGTAATGAGTCGCGATCCGGCTCACAACCTGCACCCGTGTAAGTTTCCTACCAACCGTTTGCTAACCGTATAAATCATCTATCAACATAATCGAATAGTGAAACTACAATGGTTCGTTAAAGAACTCAACATTTGGCGGTACCACATGGAACTAGGGTTGCTACACATTGCTACTGATCCATTTCCTTTGTGAAAATAAAAGAAAATAAAGTGAAGTTAAATACCGGTAATCAAAAAAAAAGAAATGACTGTACTCAACAAAAATTAGTCTAGCTACATAAATGAAAAGAAATAAGTATCAATAGGTATAATTTTTTTTAAATAAATAAAAAACATAAACAAAGGCAGAAAATTATATTCTATTACAAGAACCAATAATCAAATTTTACTTTAAAAGACGCATAAACCTAAGTGATTGTAACAACCAAAATACTACACTGTTTTAAACGCCAACAACACAACTGACAACCCTAATAACCCGAAAACGCCCAATCACTGTTTTTAATACAACACAGGTAAAGTTGCAGTTGTTGATATGAATAGTGGCTGATTATATTGTTTCCTACTGGTATCCGATACCGGTACCGCGAGAATTGGTCACGGTAATCCAAAAACCGCGGTATCATCCAATAGGCCAACTATTAACGTAGGGGGTGCGAAAGACCGATGCCGACGGGTGCAGGGTTAATTAAATGTTTTGGTCACACCTCGGCGTTTTAAGGTTAGGCCTTTTTTGTGTGATTGTGAGTTATGATGTTGGTCCTTTTTTGTACATATGTTGTTATTAAGTAAATGGTGAGGATAAAAAAGGCGATTAGTCGTAGCTACCCCGAAACTGGTGCAGGTTTTGGTGTTATGTATAGGTAAATGGTAAGTAGTAAGGCATATAATAAATTAAGATTAATCATTTGAGATCACACTAATGTATTCCTTTCCTGGTATATTCTTCCAACGGGCTTCGTAGAAGCCGACTTTATGTTATAGCCGATCTTGATTCAACCTTCTAAACAGATCTCTTGTTCTGTCAAAAACAGAGAACGATCGAGAAGTTTTAGGACGGAAAAAGTACTTTCCTACGCTAAAAGATAGACCTGAACTTGTTATACTGTGATTTAAAACCTCCCCCAACTGAGACTGAATAAAAGAGACAATTAAAAATGCAAAGAATATAATCATTAAAAACAGTTTTGCATTCATTTTAATGATCGTAACATAACATCCAAAAGTTATAATGAATGCTTCATTTAACCAACCAAAAGTGTTTGTATGAAATGATGTCAATGTCAAGTGACTAGTTGACTACCGTATTGATTAACTCCTTTATTAAATGATTGAATCATTGTACAATGAACAAGTAATCATTTTGTTTTGCAATGTGATTCAAAATAAAGATGGCGTTAATCTTTTATTTAGACCTTTAAGTTTGTTAATAATTCGTTATTATTGATGAAATGTTTTTGTTTGGGATCTCTTTTGTGGTTTGTTTTTGTGGTTGCTTATTGCAATGTACCTATAAAGCAAGAATGAGATTGGTTTTATTATTAATAGCTACTCTCGTGCGGTTTTACCCTCTGCTCGGCTCCCTTTAACCGTAGCGAGATGTTTGATAGCCTATAGCACTCAGGAACATTGTAGCTATCTATCAGTGAAATAATTTTGGCAATGCGACCAGCAGTTCCAAAGATTACCGCCTACGTACAAACTTACAAATGTTACCTCTTTATAATATTAGTATAGATTAGGAACCGGCCTCGGCTTCACACGGGTGCAATACTGATAGGTACCAAATGTCTCCACTATTTAATAGATGTTAATAAACATATAAAACTTCCTCTTCAATCATTCTATCTATTAAAAATACGCATCAAAATCCGTTGCTCTGGTGCAAAGATTTAAGCACACATAGGGTTATAGGGACAGACAAAGCGACTTTTTTTATACTATGTAATTATTTAAGATATAAAACGAACTTATTAAAGTTATTATGAGAATAAAAATAATGATGAAAGAAACATGCCATTCGACCTGCACCGTGTTTTGAAGTCGATTAAACACATAGAAGTGTAACCATGTTCCAGACCATTCATCCTAAAACCTGCGTACTGATGTTAACTTCATTTTGGAATACTTCTGCCTCATCATTTACGCTTAAACAGAGATTTCTAAACTGTTTTTTTTTACAAAAAAAAACACACTAGGATTTGCTCTCGTAACGTGGTTGACTTTCATAACATGTGTACAACTTCATATACACAAAACACGATAAACCTGAAACAAGAATTTGCGCGATATAGCCGGGTACGGAGCCACCGCGTTAACCGTGTAGTCTTCAGTCAGTCAGCACAGCTAGCAATTTTTTATGAATTAACTAGCTTTTGCCCGCGACTCCTAGTCACTCCTAGCAGATTTTTGGTATAAAATCCTATGTCCTTTCTCGAGTTTCAGACTATGTCTGTACCTACCAGATTTTACAGAAATCGATTCAGTAGTTTAGGCGTGAAGAAAAGACAGACAGAGTGACTTTCGCATTTATTAATTTATAATATTAATTAGTTTGGATTAAAAACAATACATAACTGTAATTGTTTATGACTATACGATTAAAAAAATAATAAGCACAAATGTTCATAAAGAAAACATTAAGAAACTTATTGAATTTCAAAACGTACAATCCACTGCTATCTTTGCCACTTTTAATTGTGAAAGTTATATTATAAAAGCCTTTACAAAAACACGGGTTATCAGTAATTGTAATCAACTAATTGAATATTATTTAGTTATCTGTATAATCTTGACTTTCACTTTGATATGGCCTGTTGTATATGAAGTTGTAATTTGCTAAAATGTTTTTATACTTCAGTTGTTTCTTTATGAATTAAGACAACTAATATAAAGATTTGAAGAGTACTACTACTTTTGGTTGATAGTCACAAATGACACGGGAACGTTGACTGACTTTTAAGTATAAAAAAATATTATTAGAAACGTACTTTTAATTGAGTAAGACTTCTGTCCCGCGTATTTACTAACGACAACTGACGAAACATAGCTTATTCTTTGAATAAATTGTGTTATAAATATAAAGAGTTGGTAATTTTACTGCAATTTTTTCTGAGTGGAAAATTATCAAATGGCTTCTCCCGCCTAGATGACAGAAACGAGAGTGACAGACTCTTACTGACTAAAAACCCCTTTCCTTCTCCTGCTCTGGGCCGAGGCCGCGGTGTGTTATTGCACTCCCGCAACCCAATTTTACTGCACTAAAGACAGGAGAGGAACTTGAAAACCGAAGATGGTCTCATTAACAAATGACAGTCGTCGGGCCGGAAGCGCAATAATATACCACGGCGGCGTCGGGAACAGGGGAAGGAACCGAGTCGGCTTCATCTAGTTTTTCACATATAAATTGACGTGTAAAAGTGCCGTTTTATGGCCTATTTGCAAAAATAAATTCATTGTTTCATTGTTTGTAGTCAAGAGCCTGACGCTCTTTCTCTCCACATTCAGGGTTCTCTCGCGCTCATCAAATGACTTCTCACACTCAAAAAAAGTTCTCATTATACTTAAGGCAAGGTCAGTCTTTTATTAAATAGTACACACGATTTAATCAAATTATAACATCGAGTATTCTTCGAACTACACCCACATAATATCCAATTCTATCAAACACTTACAAACAAACAATTTTATAATCCCCGACATAATTCAATAAACCTAAAACAACGTTCGCCCTCCCGCCTTCAACATAGACGTCACTTTCACAAGATTAAACGTCAAATAGAGGAGGGAAGAAGGTTTTTAAATCGGAGGGCAAAGTCCCAGGGGCAAGGGCGATTAGAGTGTTGTCATAATATGGTGCAGATTGCATATTTTGCTTTTACAGGTGATGATAATTGGGTAGTTTCCTAGGCCATCCAATAAAATATTGAAAAATAACTATACTTTTATTCATCGATCGATTGATACACAAAATTTTTGATATTTATTAAATAATTATAAAGAAATAAGTGAGCTATTTGACGCAAAAGTACTATGACGTCATAACTCAGTTTTTCATACAAATTTCATAGAAAAGTATCGTTTATGACATTTGGATTAGTAGATTAGACACAAAAGTTAGAAACTACCGTATTGTGTGGATGTGGATGTTAAAGGTGTGTTTAAGTAATGTAACTTGAAGATGTGGATCTTACTTCAATGTGAACATATGTAATAGAATAAGTAAAGTCTCCCAAGGTCGAATACGTATTTTTCAACAAACCAACACACATCATAGACACGAATTAAAAAAAAAGTTGAAATTTAAATTCAGAACTCCAATAAGACCTACTTTTAAATTTTGCAACGACCAATTATCTTCCCAAACATTCGAAATAACGATCGGATATTCGCACATTTGACCCCATCCTTATTTAGGGTGCTTACACGTCAAGTATGGTGTTAATTCCCGAGAATTTGTTCTAGAGAGGGCCTACCCTCCCTTCGGGTTCAATTCCAACTAACCGGCACAGATTGGGGGAAGAGATTGTGAGATTCAATGACTTGTGCTAAATAAGTAGGCGTTCTGGATGTAATCTTTTATTTTTCTGACGTGTAATTGAAAAAAGGGTTTGTTTGTTTACAATGGTGTGACGTCATTATCTTGTGTACTTATTTTGATTTAATACGAAGTTTATTTTGTGTATTCATTTACGTCGCGTTATTGTATATGCTTTTTGTTCTTCAAAAATATAATCTAACAATGATATATCCGAATTTTCTAAGGTCTTGAAGGTCTGGAATATACTCCTCTAATTATTTGTATTTATAAAAGGAGCCAGCCAATTCTGTCTCAAAATAAACAAGTTTAACTTATTATTTGCCTTGGCCTAAAAATACATAGCGTTGTGCTATCTAATTCATCAAACTCTAAGCGAGCGCCTGGGATAAATAGTGTTTTACTGTACAATTCATTAAACCCTGAGCGAACGCCAGAGTTCGCGGTTCCTCTATTATGTCTCGAAGAAATTACCCCGAAAGAAAATTGAAAGGTAAAGTAATATAAAATGGTTACAAAATATTCTAATTCTTAATAAATCAATCGTTAAAGTTAAACAATATGAAGTACTAAACTAATTTAATATCAACAAATGCTTGTACTATTCATAAATTCGCAATCCCCTTCGCATGAACACCGCAGATCTACATTTATTACACCGTCGCGAACCTCCCCTCGTCACCTAATTATTTCACGACTACACGCTGTTTTGAGAGGGATACGCGACGGTGTGATGGGATGAATCTATTTGTATTGTCAGATATTAATTTAAGTGATTGTTGTTGTGTTTTAATTAAATTGTAATTTAATGTTTTTGTTAAAGATTTAATGCGAAAAATTGTTGCTAGGTTGCCATATTGGTCGCGAAGCGGTAGTTTGGTTGGTGATCATGCATTTTCGATATTGGTTATGTTGGGACTTGGGACTTAAATATTGCGAGGAATTTAATAGTTTTATTATTTTTGTCAACTTAAACGAGTGCCTTCATGTATTGCAATATAGATAGGATACCTAAAAAAAAATTAAGTAAGAGAAAATTACTCCATCACAAAAAAAAAACACCATCACCAATCCAATTCCTCATACTTCATAAAACCATCAATTCCTAACATATGCTTCAACAATGCCAAGCTTCATTACACGCTCATCAAATTTTCTATTTTTTACACCACTTAAGTAGGAGCGAAAATTTCAGAAATTAGATAAAATTATTGACATGGCATGGCTCATGATTGCAATGAGTCAGCACTTTTTTTTAAAGAATTCCTCCCGCACGATGTTCCCGTTTCATGGTGTTAATAGATTTAAGCCAAACGTTTAAGATTTCATGCCTTCGCGCTAAATGGTTGATAGTATAATTAGCGCCTCCATTGGGCCTTGCTTCAGCCTTTTCGGTAAGGTTCGGTAATCATCAGGTTTTAGATGTTTTTGTTTGGAGAATAAAGCTCTATGGCTTATACACAACTGAGTTATAAGTTCTTGTCTTAAATGTGACGAAAATGAATCATGAAAAATCATGAACTGTGCGCCATTCAATCCTACGTCCATACGTTCATTACCTACATTTATACTTTCTTTGGAACGAAAACTTCTGTAAATTACTAGAAGATTATAATATCTAACGTGAGGGGGTAGTGTTATTGTAAATTAAATATTCCTGTTTCTATTTGTGTGTATGTATACAGCACAATGAATGCTTTAAGCCTTACTATACCAAAATTATAGAGCGCAATGAAGTATGTTTTCGTTTTTAATCAGCTTTTCTTTGCCAAAAACATCATATCGAATTCTTACCTGTGGATTAGGCGTTAAAGCGGCACTGATAGCATTCTGCTGAGCTGCTGCAGCTGCTGCGGCCGCCATACTGGCTCCTAACGGACCATATGCTGCTCCATAATACCCTCCCATTGCTTGACCCATGCCACCGCCTGCCATTCCTGGGAAAGAGTAAAAGTTGCTTAATTATGTGTATGCTGTATTATGTATTTTTTAAGATAGTTGTTGACGTAAGCAAACTGAATCTTGAAGTGGAATAAATGTTTGCCGTAGAAAGTAACATACATATACATATGTACACTGAGAACCGTATAAGAAAGGTTATCTCAACGGAACGGAATGAATATACTTAGGAAACAAAAAAGGATAGATTTTCTAGACTTAAAAAATAATATTTTGTGTTAAATTCTTTAAAAAAGTTGACCAAACAATGTACAAAACTCGACGAGCGTTCTAAGAATTCAACATAAATTCCACAAGAGTTCTAAATTCAAAACGATCATAGAAGATAGAGTGGAATGTCTAATTCACAGCAGTCGGCAAGTGGCCACCGTAATGGACAGTACAGCTATAGACCGACGCACATTCATAATAGCGCTCCGGGAACTCTGATTCGAGCACCAATTAATTATTTCATTGTGCTAGGAATAATCCCGCCCTCGAGTGCTATTAACTAACGGTCAGTTCCTTAGACGTGTTTATTAAATACGTCTCCGAGGGGCTAGTTTACTCGCTTGTTGATCATTAATTCGGATTAGGAATTTAATTTAGAGCGACTGATTTATTACTACTTAATCTGGTTTTATTAATATTTTAATGTGATTTTACCTACTGATCTATATACGGACTTAAATTGTGAGATAGATACAATTAAATTAATATTCCTATTGAATATCGATTTCATATTTTTCAATATTTAATTATTGAAGGATCGTCATAAATAATAAATGTACCTATAAATTACGCAAGCCATCCACGTCAAACGCTAAAATAGAACTGTCAAATTTGGCGGTAAAATATTTATAATCCAAACAAATTAGGATGCCACGACAATCTAAGCACTTGTAATGCTATTACGTGAAAATTGAAATACACTTCATGTCTCGCGTGAAATATTCGAATATAGAATTTAAATAAAAAATATATGAGACACCCCCATTGTGGTGACGTCAGACGAATCTACAATATATTATAAACCGCAGCAAAATTACAAAGCAGTTTATTAAAAGGACAATGAGTCCTCTCTCAAAGCAATAAGGTGCGATATTGCTTGGTAGTTCGATTTTCGCGAACGCAAATAGGTGCGTCAAGGTTTTTAGAAAGGGACGATCGTGATTTTTTATTATATTTATAATTAAATTCCCTGTCATCTCTTTTGGGTATCTGGTCTCCTGGTATTGGCGTTTGCTCAATGGATTTTTTATATTCAGATTTTCCAAGTTTTCATTTAATTTGTACAAAATATGAATGAGTTCAGATTACTCACAATGACATTGATTGACGGCGAAAATATTTTCCCCATATAAATGGAAGACTTTTTTTAATAATATACGTTGTTTTTTAAGAAAAAATACGAAGACTACACGTGATTACAGTCAAGAATACAAACAACAGAATAAGATGATTATTATGCCTATGCTCGCTCTCGAGAGACTATGAAAAAAAAAACGAAAATAGGTACCAGGTAATAATTATTCAGTGTAAATAAGTCGAATGAAATTAAAAAAATGCATAATTAAATATTAATTTTGTGCCATCATTTTTGTAATAAATTTAGAAGACAGGAAAAATGTGAAGTCTTTAACATGACACATTCTAGAAAATTATCAGTAGGATAATAAGACAAAGGATACCATGGATTCAAAACAGTATTGATATATTAAAAAACAGACTAAGACAATCAGAACTTATTTGACTTTACAAAAGTATACACATAGCAGTTTCACCTCAACCCCTAGTAAGGACCCAAAAGAAAAACTACTAAGCTTTGAATACTTAAGCTCCCATATCACGTGGCAATTCCATCTGATTTTCTCGAAACGAACCCTCACAATACCTACCATCAAAGGCTGCACACATAACCCTAAATTAACTCACTGTTGGTCGAACAGAACGCCAACAAAACCCCAATTAATTTCCACCAACGGTTTACACAGAAACCGCTTAAATGCAACATCAAAACTGTAAATGACTAATTTTAATTAATAAAACAAACGAAAATTTCCTTAAGAGTTGTTACGTTGGACTTTTTCGACTCGAAACTTGGGCTGGAAGTTGAAAAAGTCCTTGAAAGGGTTCAAAAGGGTTATTAAAATAGGCGATTTTTGTTACTTTGTAAAAGTTTTTAAAGTAAAAGAAAGGAAACGTAGTAGGTACCTTGGATATTAATGTTTACGAGAAAAAGAAATAATTTGTAAATTTTTAGGGAATTTTAAGAACAACTTACACGTGGAAGTCATAGTAGTGCATCAATCGGCTTAAAAGTTTCAAGTTTGTCTGCGGGCAGATTTTAGTTCCTCGATGGTAACAACATATTATGTATGTACAATTGTACACGTCTCCTGTAGGTACTAGAAAGTAGTAGAAAGATACAACACACTGTTACCTCAACAATCCTTCGACATCAATAGAAGTCGAAAGTCCACAAAAATTAAAAGCTGCCTCACAATAGATGTAATTTCAAACACGATTCACCTCCGTCAGAATCCATATCATTCATAATGACCATCTTCCGACCGGCCCCTGAGTATGTAAATATAGCTCGACTATTGTGAGGATCGACAGAAAGGTCGGACACCGGGCTAAATGGGATTTTCGTACGGGTTTCCTTTTCAATGCCCCCGTTTTTTTCTTTCCTCTCTCTTTATATTTGAATGTGTTAAATTTCTCGGAAAAATGCTTATTTTCTGTCCCGTCAGGTGGGTAAGGTGATTTATAGAGTGACCTTAGATGGTATCAATGGCTGAATGTGTGGCTTAGTTCAGGAGTTTCGGCCGAAATGAGTTTTGGGTTAGTGAATTGTTCGTACTTTATATTTCGGTTGTATAGTGTAAACTAAAAGGTTTACGTATGCATGTTTGCACGTAAACATACAAAATTTATATAAAATTCAAGGTTAGAATATGAATACCTGCTTGAACGCATGATAAAATATGAAAATTTAGGAAAATTTAGGTTAAGCCCTAAATACTTTCACAAATGCCTACAAAGACAAACTAAACTTGGTCCATAAGTACCTACTCAAAAATGTTTCTGTAATTTCATTCTTTACTGCAGAAAACAGGCCCAATTTTCCAAACTACCCAAATAATCTTCCGAGATCAAAATGTACTAAACGAACGATAAAATCAGATCACAACATAATCCCGTGGAACCCTAAAACAACCTCCAGCAGTTCCATTTATCCTTGAAAAACGATCTGAACAAATGACAAGGGGTATATTTTCGCCGTTTCATAGCATGGGGAGGGTTGTCCGCAGACGTACTTAACAAACCGTGGTTAAATTGATAGATTAGCCACAATTTGTGCAAATCATCGTTTTTGCTTGTTTGTAGTTATGGATATTAATGTTATATGGTATTTTGGTTGAGTGATAGAATTATCTCGTTGGATAACCCCAATGTAATGTTATAATTTCAAGTGCCGCAATTATAATAACCGGTGGTCTATGCAGGTATTTTGAGGTTTTCGTTACGAGATGATAGGTGTGCTGTAATTCAAATGATTTTCTAGTTTCCTCATTTTATTTCTTATTTAAAAAATGCTTATTTTAGTATATACATTTTTGGCAGAGAGCATTTTCTCATGTAGGTCGTTCATATGTCGTAAACCCCAAAAAATCGGAGCAAAAATATAAACAAAACGGTAAGTCATTTCCTAGAATCATAAACAAAAAATTTTTCGCTCCACACGTCCGTTCTCCCTAACGTCCCGCGTTCAACTGTCATGTAAATGACGTCACGTGACCGGAAGCAGTTTGGCGGGGGGAGGGTCTTCCGGCGACGCACGCGATTGGACACTTCCGTTCGGTAACAAACTGCTGGTATATAATATGCTAATCATGAATAAGCAATTTATTGGATTATTGTATGGATTAGCATTGCCTGTTTTGCCTGTAAGTGAGGATTAAGGCTGTCGGATTTATTTTTTGGTGATAAAGTTTTTTTGTTATTTAATGTACAAAAATAAAAGGGTTCATATAATAGTCAATGTTGAGACTTGAAACATAATAATTCCCAACATCATTTAAGTAGTTAAGTCATGTAAATCCATAATTAGAAACGTTTTATACATTAGAAAGTAATATAGTATGAAAGAGCAAGAAACACCACCCTGACAAACTTCCGCGTTCGATCTCTTTTTATTCCTCATTGTCAACACCACATCTGATGGCCTCCATAAAAATCCAATTATAACTTTCTTTTAATACTATTGCTTACTTTTTGTCAAAGTTAACAGTACACATGTTTTTGTCGTTAAAACACAATCGTGCAGAGGAAATACCACAAACCAAAACCTTCAGTACTTGAAGAAACGTTTGATGGAAAATTACTAGTCCCGATTTTTTTTGCCAGCAATGCTTAGTATGACCGACATTATTTTTAATTAACCGTACACTAAACTAGACTTATTCGAATACCCTGATAATTCCTGTCACATTCTGTAAACCAGTTATAACCAGTTGTCTCTAGAACAAAGCTATTTTTACCGGCTTAATTGAGAAATCGCGTGGACAAATGCGAGCCCAGTTTTTTTGCAACGTAGTGTAGGACAAAATCGATTGGCTACACTTAAAGTTAAGGAAAATGTAACATCATTAAATGGGTAAACAACGAAACTGTTGCTTCTGAAAATAAACTGGGGAGCAAAAACTTTGACACCTCACTTTTTTGCAAAATTCTTTAATTAGATGTGCTGTGAGGAAGAATAAAGGGAAAATCGTCGTCCAGGCTTAGCCCGTTTTTTTGGCTGACATTGTGAGCAAACAGTAAACTAATTTTGGTTTGTCATTGTGGTATTTTCCTGGCTTACGTCAAGTTTTAGCATACTTTTTAGTTTTTACAACTTCAGCAAAAAAGTTTAAAGCAAGATGAATAGAAAATCAAAAGTGTAATGATTTGGTTTAATAGAGGCTGTGTATTAATATACAGTAGGTTATGC